TCTCTTTCTAACTCTGCAATATATGTTAGTGAGAAAAACTGATAAAAAGACTTTGCCAGGTGTAGTTAGAAATACATTTCAGTTCTTTTTCCTTCCACCACAGATCTTTAATTATTACAGCCAAAGAAAAAAAAAATAGAAGGCCAAAATAATTTGTCATCTAATGTATCTAGGCATTTAAAATCGGGTCAGATTCCAACGGTTTTTTTCAGCTGAACAATTTCTCTCTTTTATGATAACTTTGGGGTAAAGAGTTCTTAGGAACAGTTAGCTATCTGGCTGAGAACGGCCTAAGAAACTGGAAAGAGATATCAGTAAAGTAATAGTGAAATACGCTGCACACATCAGGTCATTTGCTTAACATTTTTACTGGCTTCAATTCCTTTCTGAAGAATTTATTGAGAGTACATGGCAATGGAAACTTTAAAAAACAAAAAAGAAACTCAGGGTTAGAATTATGTATGATTGGGTTTGTTTCATTGACAAAAGAATCAAAACGGTGGTCAGCTCCTAAATGCCTTCCTTTCTGCTGAGAAACAAGTAGCTTTTTCATTTTGTTTTTTACTCCAACACTTTTCTGTCCATTCTAAACAAAATAAATGGATAAATAAATAAGCAAGTTATATCAGCCTACACTGTCTGAAAACCTTCCTACTGGGAGACTCTGCAAGCTGGCCCTGGGTTAAAGTCAGACTGTCCACATTTGTCTCCAAGCTCTATTTTTGCCACAAACTGATTTCTTAATACACACAGAGTGTCTTCACATTCCCAACTTTTCCTTACCCACATCAAAATTAATGGAAAAAATTTTACTTTCTATGTTGTCCTTTACACCAAAGAGTATCTGAGACAAATCTCAATCAATATACAGAGTTTATTTTGCCAAGCTATGATGCACCTGTGACACAGCCTCAGGAGGTCCTGATGACATGTTCCCAAGGTTGCTGGGCTACAGCTTTGTTTTATATATTTTAGGGAGACATGAGATATCAATCAACACATGTAAGATGTACATTGGTTCCATCTGGAAAGGCGGGACAGCTCAAAGTGTGGGGCTCCCAGATCATAGGTAGATTTTAAGATTTTTCTGATTGGCAATTGGTTGAAAGAGTTATCAACAGAAAGGAATGTCTGGATTACCATAAGGGGTGGTGGGGACCAAGGTTTTATCATTCAGATGAAGACTTCGGGCGGCAAGCTTCAGAGAATAGATTGTAAATGCTTCTTATCAGACTTAAATAGTCTATTCTATCAGTAATTCCAAAGAGGAGGAGGATATACTGAGGCATGTCTGACTGCCCCTTCCCATCACTGCCTCAACTAGGTTTTCATGTTACTTTTGGAATGTCCTTGCCAGGAGAAGGGTTCCTTTCAGATGGTTGAGGGGCTTAGAATTTTATTTTTGGTTTACTGTCCCTGCTTTCTTTTAAGTAATAAGTGGTAAATGAATACTCTGATAAACAGATCCTTGACAATGACTGAAAAAATACTAATTAATAACTGCTGCCAGGTAGCTAAGATGTCCAAAAGTCTTTTTAAAAATGATAATACTATTGTTAATAGCTAAGGTTTCCTGAGGGATTTCTATGGACCAGGCTGAGAATTACATTCTTTAAGGATATTATTTCAATCCTAACAATAGTCTTTTTGCTTTTTTTCTTTTTGAGACAGAGTTTTGCTCTGTCACCCAGGCTGGAGTGTAGGGGCACAATCTTGGCTCACTGCAACCTCTGCCTCCCAGGTTCAAGCAAATCTCCTGCTTCAGCTTCCTAAGTAGCTCGGATTAAAGGTGTATGCTGCCATCCTAGCTGATTTTTGTATTTTTAGTAGAGTTAGGGTTTTGCTATGTTGGCCAGGCTGGTCTCAAACTGCTTACTTCAGGTAACATACCCACCTTGGCCTCTGCAGTGCTGGGATTATAGGTGTGAGTTACTGCACTTGGCCTGAAAACACTCTTACATATTTATTATTCTTATTTTACAGATGAGAAAACAGGAACTTAATGATTTTAAGAAACTTGCCCAAGATAAATCAGGGCACAGAATTTAAAGCTAAGTCTTAATTCTAAAATCCCTGTTTTTTCATACAATTATGACTTTAATAGTATTATTTTTCTCAGGTACTTTTTGGGAGATATTAGTAGAGATTTACTAGATGTACTAGACGGAAAAATATATTTCATATCAGCGGAACTATTAACCAAGGAAGATTCCCACACCAGGGTTTTGAAGATAACAACCCATCCCTTTACATTTTTGTCTTCTGAATTCTACCTGTTTATGATGATATAGTATTTCAAGACAATTGGAAAAATGAAGACTCTATCATGGATGACAATTATGTTTACAGAACTGCCTGAACATCAATTATAATAAATTTGTTTGTGTATTCACCAAATATTTAAGAAAGAACCTACCATAGGCCAGATGTATATCTGATAAAACAATGGACAAGTATAATTATAGTGTTTTGCTCAACAATATTTCCCTTAAATGAATGGATGTCTGAATTATTATGCATATAATGTCTCAACAAATACACTAATGATGTGCAGCTTTATTCTGACCTTTGTGAAATATTATTCATTTGACGCCTCAAGAACATCAGAGAATGTCAGCAGGGAAATGATTTATACTTTAATGGTTTATGACTAACCTATGGTAATTTTATCTTAAATTCCCTGTAACATTTTCTGAATGCCATACCCCTATGCTCAGAAAAAGTATCTGAATGCATGCATTACAGGGCTTTGTCTTCTTCTGAAAAATTATTTGATTATTCACCTCTAACTTTTTATTTTAACACTCTAAAATATTCTACTCAGTAATTGACTTAGGATGCTGCATTATGTGAAGTAATGAACTTCTTGGTTCTGATTCAGAATGTGCACTGTCTTTCAATGTGTTTTTGTACACATGAAAAATGTAATCTTTTTGAATATCAAATGTGTTCTGTGTCTATTTTCAATTATTTAATTAAGAGGTATACTATTATAGATTATGAATTTATAAAAATTTATTTGCTTATATGTGATATATTTCCAAATAATAAAATTTACTGTAATTGATAGGGTGTGTGTCTTGTGTTATTTTAACATTAGTGGTGATGTGTTTTTGTTGATCTGTACACATTTTCTTCCTTGGGTCCACTATAAAGAAATAGGTGGGCCGGGCGCGGTGGCTCAAGCCTGTAATCCCAGCACTTTGGGAGGCCGAGGCGGGTGGATCACGAGGTCAAGAGATCAAGACCATCCTGGTCAACATGGTGAAACCCCGTCTCTACTAAAACTACAAAAAATTAGCTGGGCATGGTGGCGCGTGCCTGTAGTCCCAGCTACTCAGGAGGCTGAGGCAGGAGAATTGCCTGAATCCAGGAGGCGGAGGTTGCGGTGAGCCGAGATCGCACCATTGCACTCCAGCCTGGGTAACAAGAGCGAAACTCGGTCTCAAAAAAAAAAAAAAAAAAAAAAGAAATAGGTGAAGGTTTGGAGTGTTGGCCATACCTCTGCAAATACTAAAGTTCATATAAAGAAAAAGGCCATCTAAGCTAAGTAACTCAAGTGATATATAAATATAAAGGTACATATTTCAGCTAAAAGATAAAGACAAATGTCCTCTTTAGTATTACATTCATTATAAAAAATGATGGTGCTACTTAATTGTTAATTAATTATTATATGCAGTATGCCTAAATCAGTTGGGGGTAGACTTCTTTTCGGTGCAAATAAAACAGGTGATATGCATGTTTTGTGATAAACATTTTGAAATGTCTGTACTAAGAGCTGTCTATTAACTGAAAGTCTTCCTTAGCTTTTTAAGTGATAGATGCCACTTCACTAAAGGATATTTTTTTTCTTATTTTTATTTGTCTTATTTGAAGACAAAGAATTCTTTAAAGCCCAAAAAGTTGTGTCTCTTTTATCTTTCAATCTCTATCCTCCAACACAGTGCTCCGTTGAGAGGATAAAGGAATAGTTAGTACTGAGTTATGAAGCAAATATGAAAACCTATTTTTAACATTGTTTTATGTTCTGCAATAATAATTCTTCTGACTCTTCAATATAATTTGGGGTTTTAAAGAGCATTCCTGGTATATCTCCAAATTCATAATAGTTTTCTATATAAGTAGAAACATTTTTTAATATTCTTATGACTATAATTAACATGAAATGTATTACACAAAATGATATATGAAATGATTCCCAGGAATTTCTACTTCAAGTAAATAAATTACCTAAAACATTAAGAGTTATAAGAAAGTATGTGGGCCAGTGTGGTGGTTCATACTTGTAGTCCCAACATTTTGGGAGGCCTAGACATGCAGATCACTTGAGCCCCGAACTTGGGAGACCAGTCTGGACAATACGGTGAAACCCAGTCTCTGCAAAAAAGTACACACACACTTACAAAAACTAGCTGGGTGTTGTGGAGTGCTTGTAGTCCCAGCTACTTGGACAGCTGAGCTGGGACGATCCCCTGAGCTAGGGAGGCAGGTAGAGGCTGCAGTGAGCCATGATCACTCCACTGCACTCCAGCCTGGGGGACAGAGTGAGACCCTAACTCAAAAAAAAAAAAAAAAAAAAAAAAAAGGACAGGCAGAATGACAGTAGACCAACTTTTCCCATATCTAAAGTGAATTGTGCCATCCCTGCTTCATGCATTCAGCAAGAATTCACTAAATCACACTATGCAACAATCTGTATTAGGTCCTGGTGTTGCCAATTGCATGTAATGAGTCAGAGATTATCATACCTGCATAACAATGTCATTTTAAAATAATGGCATGTATCTCCTTCCTTAAAAAGAGACACATGAAATCATTCAGTGAAAACCACAAATGATATCACTTCTTATAATCTGTATTTAAAAGAAATGCAGCTATACTGATTATATTGTACAAATGTTCTTTAGATTAATTGTAAGAAGACATTTTTGTATTCTAATGTATGTTTAACTCATTAGTTAGGATTCACTGATTCATTACCCAAATTTTCATTTCAGGCCCTCCAGGCCCTCCAGGTGGTCTGAGAATAGAAGACATTAGAGCCACTTCTGTGGCACTGACTTGGAGCCGGGGTTCAGACAATCATAGTCCTATCTCTAAATACACTATTCAGACCAAGACTATTCTTTCAGATGACTGGAAAGATGCAAAGACAGGTAAGTTTATTTGTCTGATTAATCTGTGCATGTTTTCAAAGTGAATTCTTTTCTCAAAAACAAAAATTTGGATGTTTTAAATGTTATTATCTACCTTGAAAGGCTTTCTTTCTTAAAATTTTTTTTTAATACTAATATTTTGGTAGTGGAGAAAATTCCATGGAACTTACATATTTAAATGTGTTAAAGCTATAGAAAAAGAAGTATCATTTCTAAATCAATCTAGAATGGAAAGCAAAATGAGGCCTCCTGGGTTTCTTCTTTGAGTTTTGTGTGAGATTTACTGCCCCAGAATCACTGAGAAGTCTATTTTGGAGCAAATAGCATTTATAGCATGTTATTTATGACCCATTTTATTCGATTATATAGGTATTATAGTTTTACATTTCTGAAAAGCCACATTGATCATAAATCTTAAATTAAGCATCCAAATGTTACTACTAGAACGCTTTACTTTATGTGAATGATCTCACCTGGTTTGAATTTCTTCAAAACAGATTTTTAAAGATATTTTTGATCTTTCAACCTTTTTCTTTTCTTATATTAAGATTTTCTAAAGTTGATCAGGAAAAATTAAGAGTAAGTGGATATATACCCGCTTAATTAATTAATTCTGAAGAGAATGGAAAAGTATGATAATAATGAAACTATTAGAAATTAGCCACATTAAAATAAACAAATGGCTTAAATTTGGGTTGGCTCTGAAAAAGGAATACTAATTGCAATCATTTCATTAATTACTTATGTATGCTTATTATGTAGCTCAATTAAAATATGCTTCTCATTTTAAAATATCCACTAGAAAGTAAGTTCCATAAAGGTAAAAACTGTTTTATTCACTGTTCTATCTCTAGCACCTAGATCAGGGCCCATAGTGCTCATTCGTTCAACATGTATTTATTGAGTCCTCACTGTGTGCCAGAACCTGTTCTTGATGCAGTATGTATAGCTGAGCAGCAGTGAACAAAACAGACAAAACAACAACAACACAACCTGCCTTCAAGGAGCTTATATTATAGGAGAGAGGCCAAAACACAGTTAAAATATATAGTAAGTCATGTGGTGATGAATGCTAGAGAGAAACAACAGAAAAGAGGAATGGGTAGGTAGCAGATAAATTTTAAATTGGGTACTTCGGATATTAATCATAGCCACTGCTGCTTTCCTAAAGTTTCTGTTTCCATTATATAGCTTTTCCAATTCTTTTACTTTCACTGAATTTGAGTCTTTTAATCTGAAGTATGTTTTCTGTTGGCAGTTTATAGGCAGATACTCACTGTGTGTGTGTTTGTGTGTATAATCCTGCTCTCTAAACATAAAATGAGGGGAAGTTCATATCCACTATATGTGTGTATATTCACACACATACATACTTAATGAATACTTTAGGGCTTACCAGATACATATGAATTTATCAGAATAGGTTTTATAGTATATTAGCTTAATTTCATGAATATGAAAGTATTTCTCCTAGATAGCTCTATTTCTTCTTCCTCTTTTGCATTAGTATAGTAATATATATCACTATATATTAATAGAATATGTTATATGCTATTATAGTAATATATATTACTATATTACTATATATTAATAGCATATATTTTATTATATATGCTATTATATATGGCATATAAGAAAATATGCTATAATAGCATATATAATAAAATATATGGTATATTTATATATATAATAA